ATCACACACGATTTTCCGGATTATTCTGGAGTCGAAAGATGCCAATCAGAAAATGGACCTGTACATATAAGCTACCTTAACTTAATGGACTTAGCTGGTTCTGAGAGAGTTTCTCTGACGAAAGCTGCTGGTGAGCGTCTTAAAGAGGGGGCTAACATAAACAAATCTTGTCAGTATTAGGAAATGTGATAAGGCAACTAAGCGAGGGGAAGGAGTTTATCAGTTATCGCGATTCGAAATTGACTAGACTGCTCTCACAGGCTCTTGGCGGTAATGCCAAATCATTGATTATCGGGAATGTTACTTTAGCTGCAGAGGAGGAGACTAGATCTACACCAGAATTCGCCCAAAGCACTAAAACTGTCAAAAATAAAACGAAAGTAAACATCTTGTCAGCTACAGAAGAGACACTTCAAGGATATCAGAACTTGACTCGCGATCTCGAAACTCGGCTCAAAAAGCAGGCAATTAAGCTAAAAGAGATGGATAAAAGCAAACAAGAGTATCTGCTCGAGATAGAAAGACTAAAAACGGAAGTATCTATTGTCGGGCGCTTTCAAATGGGAGCCTCGGCATCAACACCGAAAAAACATTAAGACGTCATACTTTTGGACACTATGGCAACGTATCACCTAAAAAAGCATCCCTAGGGTATATGCCATTGAAAAATTATCCACCCAAAGAAGAATCATCCGGACGTGAAATGAGGCCTATTCAAGAAGAGACATATGAGGAGGCACTAGCCGAAGCAGAATCTGTGATAGCTGAAGACGTGCAAGTGTACTTAAAAGACAACTCAAAGAACTGGAAGAATCTTTCAATGAGCTTAGAGAATTCACTAAACTAGATAATCAGCTGGAGATTTTGGACCTGAAGAAACAGCTCACAGAAGCCAATTCTAAATTCGATCGTTACAGTCAGGAACTCCGCCAAGTAACGGATGCGTACAACGAAGAAATAGAAAGAGTTCAAAAAAATTCTCAAAAAGCGCAAGAATTTCATCGACTTGCAATACAGACTCTCGATTTTCTGGAAAAAAATAATAAAAAGACTAAAAACATACGAGTCAGAAATAGAGATGCTGCGTACTCAACTGAAGAACCTAGGAAGATCAGAGAGCCCTAAACCATCTCTTGAAGCTCAAAATATTGAGTCAAAAAAGAAGGTTGCAGACTTAGAAGCTATGCTTGACGCTGAGTACGAAGATATGCAACATTCTTTAAGTGCTGCTGCACAAACTGATGTAACGATGTCACACATTGCTGAACTGCAAGATGAAATTGGCTTCCTAAAAGAACTTGAATCTAAACTGAGAAATGACGTAAAGAGTCTGATGGACGAGAGTAACCAACGTGAGGTCAACCACTCATTTAAAATCTCAGATATATACGATGCCATAATGATTCTACTATAAAAGAGCTTCAGGATCAAATGGCTGAACTGGAATGCCAAAACGAAATCTGGATTATGAAAAAGGACGACGAAATCAGAAAATTGCAACACTAATTACAAACCCGAAGCAGGCTGGCACTTAACCAGAACCACCTGTGCAGGAAGACGTTGCATTTTATAGGGAGCAAGTTGAGTTCTCCCAGAACATGTACAAAAATGAGATAATAGGTGGAGATACGTATAAACCATAGAGAAAATCTTCAGGCAGTTAAACTAGAAATATGTCTACCCTTGTTTAGTGTTTACGATTATTGCAGGGTTTGGACAAAGTTTAGGGCTGATCCCAGTGCTCACAGTGTACAATTTTCAGCTAATAAATCTTGAATTCTGAGGTAACAAAATCAACTAGAACTCTGAAAAAGTGATTTATCAGAAATCATGCCCTTACTTCCATGATAAGAGGGATTCGTAAAAATTATAAGCAGGTTGTGGCTTATTATCTAGTAAAAGATACAAGAATCCCAGATCTGAAAACGATTATTGTTCATGTGATCACAAACTAGCAGCGACTTGGTTTGTGCGTTGTTGGCACTATTTCTAATCAGGGCGCAACGATCAAAAACGCACTTGAGACGATTTGCTCGGAGAATACTCACGGATCAAGTCCATTCCATTTTATAGTCAATGCTCAGAGTATTTCTACAATTTGTGATGAACCACATTTATTCAAAAATGGATGAAATGCTCTTATTGACATTAATATGAAAGTGAAGAAGCTGCACAGATTGAACATGTCTAGAAATCATATAATGTTGATCAGCAAACAAGACCATACAAAGAGCTATGTAGATTCGTTCAAGAATATAGAAATTAATCCTTTAATGATATCGTCGGATGATTCGAGCTTTCTCAGTTATGTGGTGGGGGTCCCGTGACTTCTCATACGGTATGAGCACGTATACCTCAAACCACAGTTTAATTTAAACATCACAATTGTTGGTTTGTTGACTTTGCGGTCAAATTTGATCCGAGGATGTCAGTTGCGTGTACGATTTGAACTTCCTTCACAATGGATTTTTTCGTTGTTGACGGATGAACAATACACTATAGACTACGCCGAGGACGACGCTGCTATCGATCAACCTGAACAACTTCCTATGGGCGACCTCGCTATGCCTATGGAAAAAACATGTACAATTGGTCAAAACGAGCGCCTGCAACTGGTCGATTATTACGCATTTACCTGAACTAAAGTCCGTGGCAACCAATTTGGAAAATAATAACCCTGTGACTCGAGAAATGCCGATAAATTTCTCCAAATACGTGAAATTTTCGAGACACTCATAGAGAACTGTCGAAATTGTTATATTTCGGGTGAGTCCCCTACAAAATACGAGATGCTCGTGGGCCGATGTCCTTCCTGTGCCTACAAGAAAACTAAACCGAATAAGTATGGACTGATGATGCAAAGACTCACCACTACCTGCTCAATGCTTTCGTCTATACGAACAGAAATATCACAGCAGATGACTGGTTCACGTCAGTAGAATTACATGTAGAATTGCGCATCAACCAACTGACCTATGTCGGCAGGAAGCGTAAAAATAAGTAACAAGTACCCCAACATGTAGTTCCAAATAAGAAGGAAACACAGCCAGGTACTTCTAAGTTTATGTTGTACAGCCTTAGAGTAGTATCTTCCAAAACCAAATACACATGTTCTCGTATAGCAATCTATGCAGCATGATAACAAAATAGTAGAGGAATCAAAGAAACCTGATAAGATCCTATATTATTTTTATAACACTATGAAGGCGGGGGGTAATGCATTAGATCGGAAGTGTGTAAATTACAATACTGGTTAGAGAACGAGAAGATGGCCTTGTGCTATTTGGTATCCAACCAGCTTCTGTAAATTCCTTTTTTTTTCAGTCTGGGACTGAAAGTTCCATTAGGCGACGAAATTTTATTGTTCCCCTGAGGCAAACTCTAATTTAACTTCGTATGAGAGGACGTTTATCAGATCCAAGACTTCCTAGGGAGCTTCGTTCAGCCATGCAAAGAATCCTAAATTACCAACGACGAATAAAGTAAGCCGTCTACTTCTCAGCCCAGAGTTCTCGATCCTGATGCAGTTGTTAAAGAAAAAAAACGACGTAGGTGTTACATGACAATACACAATGAAAAAAATGTTCTACAATCTGTAATAAGTATGTAAAGTCACAGCGCACTTACATTGTTTCGTGAAAAGTGATAAATGTTAATTATTGTATGTTTCCTTATACGAGAAAGTATTTGTTTTTGTTGTAGAATATCAACACCAAATATGTTGTTAAATGGCCCATTTTGTTAGTTTTTTTATGTTCATATTACAGTTCAAGTTTCGAGGATTATATTTATTGCATTACTCATCTTCAATGGGGTATTTTCGTTTTTAGACAATAAACAGTTTTCATGTAAGAGTGTCTTATGCGTACAAACCTGTTGTACACATGGCTAAAAACAGTAATGGCATTTCAGATGTTGATAGTAAGATCCGGTGGATAACCTGTTTTGCGAGATTAGACGTGGGATTTCCAACACGAACACCATCTGTTTATTTGAAGCATTAAAAACTGTAATAATCAACAATTTCAGTTTTCCATTGACAATAATGAAGAATTATGAAGGCGATTCATGTAAGGCACTAGGTAACTTCGCGTTGCTTTTAGAAGAGTATTGTCTGAATAGACAACAGTTACCTTGTGATTCTTCACCGAGCTGCATTTTTCAAGTTGAAAAATCGGGTGCTGAAAGTGATGGATCTATAGATTTGTGAGAATTTGCTGCTGCTTCAACTCTTTTTGTAATAACAATAACAGTCTATATGAAATTTAACAATTCTGTTTCTTCTTTGATTTTGAGTCACCCTGTAAATGTAGCTCTACTAAACTATCGGACCGCATTCATAGCCTACAAGAGAAAAAAATCTTCTATACTGGAAAGGAGGAAAAAAAGAATGTATCAACCTGATACATCTGCCCCTCTTTATAACCCGTGAAATAGCCCTAGTTCTAATTAAATTTCAGTTCAAGCTTCCAAAATGACTTCCAACAATATTAAAGTAGCCACAAAGATCAGACCAATGATCCACCGCGAAGTAGCCGATGGTCTAGAGCGTCTTTGGAACGTAAGAGTAAACTGCATATGGGAAGCCGATGAAAGTAGTCGCCATGGAGAGGTTTATATATTCGACCATGTATTTAATCAGGAATGTACAAATTCAGATGTATATGGATCTGTAGTAAAACCTTTAGTCGATTCCTTCATGGAAGGTTTCAATGCCACAATATTTGCATATGGCCAAACATCTTCTGGCAAAACACACACCATTTTGGGCAATAAAACAGATCCTGGGCTTTTCCAATTAGTATCCAATCAGTTATTCCAGCATGTGGCAGACCAGGTTGATAAGAGGTACTTGATTAGATGCAGTTATATTGAAATCTACAATGAAAAGATCAATGACCTCCTGGATAAGAGCAATCAGGGTTTAACTATGAGAAGATATCAAAGGAAATGTGCTGCTTGATGCAAGGGAAGCTGTCGTAGACAATGTTGATAAAGTTATGGAGAACATGATGCAGGGCAATAAGATCAGACGAGTTGCAGCTACTCGCATGAATGAGAGGTCATCTCGATCACACACGATTTTCCGGATTATTCTGGAGTCGAAAGATGCCAATCAGAAAGATGGACCTGTACATATAAGCTACCTTAACTTAATGGACTTAGCTGGTTCTGAGAGAGTTTCTCTGACGAAAGCTGCTGGTGAGCGTCTTAAAGAGGGGGCTAACATAAACAAATCTTTGTCAGTATTAGGAAATGTGATAAGGCAACTAAGCGAGGGGAAGGAGTTTATCAGTTATCGCGATTCGAAATTGACTAGACTGCTCTCACAGGCTCTTGGCGGTAATGCCAAATCATTGATTATCGGGAATGTTACTTTAGCTGCAGAGGAGGAGACTAGATCTACACCAGAATTCGCCCAAAGCACTAAAACTGTCAAAAATAAAACGAAAGTAAACATCTTGTCAGCTACAGAAGAGACACTTCAAGGATATCAGAACTTGACTCGCGATCTCGAAACTCGGCTCAAAAAGCAGGCAATTAAGCTAAAAGAGATGGATAAAAGCAAACAAGAGTATCTGCTCGAGATAGAAAGACTAAAAACGGAAGTATCTATTGTCGGGCGCTTTCAAATGGGAGCCTCGGCATCAACACCGAAAAAAACATTAAGACGTCATACTTTTGGACACTATGGCAACGTATCACCTAAAAAAGCATCCCTAGGGTATATGCCATTGAAAAATTATCCACCCAAAGAAGAATCATCCGGACGTGAAATGAGGCCTATTCAAGAAGAGACATATGAGGAGGCACTAGCCGAAGCAGAATCTGTGATAGCTGAAGACGTGCAAGTGTACTTAAAAGACAACGCAAAGAACTGGAAGAATCTTTCAATGAGCTTAGAGAATTCACTAAACTAGATAATCAGCTGGAGATTTTGGACCTGAAGAAACAGCTCACAGAAGCCAATTCTAAAATCGATCGTTACAGTCAGGAACTCCGCCAAGTAACGGATGCGTACAACGAAGAAATAGAAAGAGTTCAAAAAAATTCTCAAAAAGCGCAAGAATTTCATCGACTTGCAATACAGACTCGATTTTCTGGAAAAAAATAATAAAAAGACTAAAAACATACGAGTCAGAAATAGAGATGCTGCGTACTCAACTGAAGAACCTAGGAAGATCAGAGAGCCCTAAACCATCTCTTGAAGCTCAAAATATTGAGTCAAAAAAGAAGGTTGCAGACTTAGAAGCTATGCTTGACGCTGAGTACGAAGATATGCAAGATTCTTTAAGTGCTGCTACACAAACTGATGTAACGATGTCACACATTGCTGAACTGCAAGATGAAATTGGCTTCCTAAAAGAACTTGAATCTAAACTGAGAAATGACGTAAAGAGTCTGATGGACGAGAGTAACCAACGTGAGGTCAACCACTCATTTAAAATCTCAGATATACGATGCCATAATGATTCTACTATAAAAGAGCTTCAGGATCAAATGGCTGAACTGGAATGCCAAAACGAAATCTGGATTATGAAAAGTGCCCCTCTTTATAACCCGTGAAATAGCCCTAGTTCTAATTAAATTTCAGTTCAAGCTTCCAAAATGACTTCCGACAATATTAAAGTAGCCACAAAGATCAGACCAATGATCCACCGCGAAGTAGCCGATGGTCTAGAGCGTCTTTGGAACGTAAGAGTAAACTGCATATGGGAAGCCGATGAAAGTAGTCGCCATGGAGAGGTTTATATATTCGACCATGTATTTAAGCAGGAATGTACAAATTCAGATGTATATGGATCTGTAGTAAAACCTTTAGTCGATTCCTTCATGGAAGGTTTCAATGCCACAATATTTGCATATGGCCAAACATCTTCTGGCAAAACACACACCATTTTGGGCAATAAAACAGATCCTGGGCTTTTCCAATTAGTATCCAATCAGTTATTCCAGCATGTGGCAGACCAGGTTGATAAGAGGTACTTGATTAGATGCAGTTATATTGAAATCTACAATGAAAAGATCAATGACCTCCTGGATAAGAGCAATCAGGGTTTAACTATAAGAGAAGATATCAAAGGAAATGTGCTGCTTGATGCAAGGGAAGCTGTCGTAGACAATGTTGATAAAGTTATGGAGAACATGATGCAGGGCAATAAGATCAGACGAGTTGCAGCTACTCGCATGAATGAGAGGTCATCTCGATCACACACGATTTTCCGGATTATTCTGGAGTCGAAAGATGCCAATCAGAAAGATGGACCTGTACATATAAGCTACCTTAACTTAATGGACTTAGCTGGTTCTGAGAGAGTTTCTCTGACGAAAGCTGCTGGTGAGCGTCTTAAAGAGGGGGCTAACATAAACAAATCTTTGTCAGTATTAGGAAATGTGATAAGGCAACTAAGCGAGGGGAAGGAGTTTATCAGTTATCGCGATTCGAAATTGACTAGACTGCTCTCACAGGCTCTTGGCGGTAATGCCAAATCATTGATTATCGGGAATGTTACTTTAGCTGCAGAGGAGGAGACTAGATCTACACCAGAATTCGCCCAAAGCACTAAAACTGTCAAAAATAAAACGAAAGTAAACATCTTGTCAGCTACAGAAGAGACACTTCAAGGATATCAGAACTTGACTCGCGATCTCGAAACTCGGCTCAAAAAGCAGGCAATTAAGCTAAAAGAGATGGATAAAAGCAAACAAGAGTATCTGCTCGAGATAGAAAGACTAAAAACGGAAGTATCTATTGTCGGGCGCGCTTTCAAATGGGAGCCTCGGCATCAACACCGAAAAAAACATTAAGACGTCATACTTTTGGACACGATGGCAACGTATCACCTAAAAAAGCATCCCTAGGGTATATGCCATTGAAAAATTATCCACCCAAAGAAGAATCATCCGGACGTGAAATGAGGCCTATTCAAGAAGAGACATATGAGGAGGCACTAGCCGAAGCAGAATCTGTGATAGCTGAAGACGTGCAAGTGTACTTAAAAGACAACTCAAAGAACTGGGAAGAATCTTTCAATGAGCTTAGAGAATTCACTAAACTAGATAATCAGCTGGAGATTTTGGACCTGAAGAAACAGCTCACAGAAGCCATTCTAAATTCGATCGTACAGTCGGAACTCCGCCAAGTAACGGATGCGTACAACGAAGAAATAGAAAGAGTTCAAAAAAATTCTCAAAAAGCGCAAGAATTTCATCGACTTGCAATACAGACTCGATTTTCTGGAAAAAAATAATAAAAAGACTAAAAACATACGAGTCAGAAATAGAGATGCTGCGTACTCAACTGAAGAACCTAGGAAGATCAGAGAGCCCTAAACCATCTCTTGAAGCTCAAAATATTGAGTCAAAAAGAAGGTTGCAGACTTAGAAGCTATGCTTGACGCTGAGTACGAAGATATGCAACATTCTTTAAGTGCTGCTGCACAAACTGATGTGACGATGTCACACATTGCTGAACTGCAAGATGAAATTGGCCCTAAAAGAACTTGAATCTAAACTGAGAAATGACGTAAAGAGTCTGATGGGACGAGAGTAACCAACGTGAGGTCAACCACTCATTTAAAATCTCAATACGAAGAGCCATAATGATTCTACTATAAAAGCTTCAGGATCAAATGGCGAACTGGAATGCCAAAACGAAATCTGGATTATGAAAGTGCCCCTCTTTATAACCCGTGAAAACCCTAGTTCTAATTAAATTTCAGATCAAGCTTCCAAAATGACTTCCGACAATATAAAGTAGCCACAAGATCAGACCAATTCCACCGCGAAGTAGCCGATGGTCTAGAGCGTCTTTGGAACGTAAGAGTAAACTGCATATGGGAAGCCGATGAAAGTAGTTCGCCATGGAGAGGTGATATATTCGACCATGTATTTAAGCAGGATGTACAAATCAGATGTATATGGATCTGTAGTAAAACCTTTAGTCGATTCCTTCATGGAAGGTTTCAATGCCACAATATTTGCATATGGCCAAACATCTTCTGGCAAAACACAACACACATTTTGGTCAATAAAACAGATCCTGGGCTTTTCCAATTAGTATCCAATCAGTTATTCCAGCATGTGGCAGACCAGGTTGATAAGAGGTACTTGATTAGATGCAGTTATATTGAAATCTACAATGAAAGATCAATGACGTCCTGGATAAGAGCAATCAGGGTTTACTATAAGAGAAGATATCAAAGGAAATGTGCTGCTTGATGCAAGGGAAGCTGTCGTAGACAATGTTGATAAAGTTATGGAGAACATGATGCAGGCAATAAGATCAGACGAGTTGCAGCTACTCGCATGAATGAGAGGTCATCTCGATCACACACATTTTCCGGATTATTCTGGAGTCGAAAGATGCCAATCAGAAAGATGGACCTGTACATATAAGCTACCTTAACTTAATGGACTTAGCTGGTTCTGAGAGAGTTTCTCTGACGAAAGCTGCTGGTGAGCGTCTTAAAGAGGGGGCTAACATAAACAAATCTTTGTCAGTATTAGGAAATGTGATAAGGCCTAAGCGAGGGGAAGGAGTTTATCAGTTATCGCGATTCGAAATTGACTAGACTGCTCTCACAGGCTCTTGGCGGTAATGCCAAATCATTGATTATCGGGAATGTTACTTTAGCTGCAGAGGAGGAGACTAGATCTACACTAGAATTCGCCCAAAGCACTAACACTGTCAAAAATAAACCGAAAGCAAACATCTTGTCAGCTACAGAAGAGGCACTTCAAGGATATCAGAACTTGACTCGCGATCTCGAAACTCGGCTCAAAAAGCAGGCAATTAAGCTAGAAGAGATGGAGAAAAGCAAACAAGAGTATCTGCTCGAGATAGAAAGACTAAAACGGAAGTATCTATTGTCGGGCGCTTCCAAATGGGAGCCTCGGCATCAACACCGAAAAAAACATTAAGACGTCATACTTTTGGAGACTATGGCAACGTATCACCTAAAAAAGCATCCCTACGGTATATGCCATTGAAAATTATCCACCCGAAGAAGAATCATCCGGACGTGAAATGAGGCCTATTCAAGAAGAGACATATGAGGAGGCACTAGCCGAAGCAGAATCTGTGATAACTGAAGACGTGCCTGCAAGTGTACTTAAAAGACAACTCAAAAACTGGAAGAATCTTCAATGAGCTCAGAGAATTCACTAACTAGATAATCAGCTGGAGATTTTGGACCTGAAGAAACAGCTCACAGAAGCCAATTCTAAAATCGATCGTTACAGTCAGGAACTCCGCCAATAACGGATGCGTACAATGAAGAAATAGAAAGGGTTCAAAAAATTCTCAAAAAGCGCAAGAATTTCATCGACTTGCAATACAGACTCGATTCAGGATCAAATGGCTGAACTGGAATGCCAAAACGAAATCTGGATTATGAAAAATGACGACGAAATCGGTAAATTGCAACAACTAATTACAAACCCGAAGCAGGCTGGCACTTAACCAGAACCAGCTGTGCAGGAAGACGTTGCATTTTATAGGGAGCAAGTTGAGTTCTCCCAGAACATGTACAAAAATGAGATAATAGATGGAGGGTTACGTATAAACCATAGAGAAAATCTTCAGGCAGTTAAACTAGAAATATGTCTACCCTTGTTTAGTGTTTACGATTATTGCAGGGTTTGGACAAAGTTTAGGGCTGATCCCACGCACCACGATAGCACCTAGGACTTAAGATTGTGAATCTAGTCTTGGTAACCGCTCACAGTGTACAATTTTCAGCTAATAAATCTTGAATTCTGAGGTAACAAAATCAACTAGAACTCTGTAAAAGTGATTTATCAGAAATCATGCCCTTACTTCCATGATAAGAGGGATTCGTAAAAATTATAAGCAGGTTGTGGCTTATTATCTAGTAAAAGATAAAAGAATCCCAGATCTGAAAACGATTATTGTTCATGTGATCACAAACTTGCAGCGACTTGGTTTGTGCGTCGTTGGCACTATTTGTAATCGGGGCGCAACGATCAAAAACGCACTTGAGACGATTTGCTCGGAGAATACTCACGGATCAAGTCCATTCCATTTTATAGTCAATGCTCAGAGTATTTCTACAATTTGTGATGAACCACATTTATTCAAAAATGGATGAAATGCTCTTATTGACATTAATATGAAAGTGAAGAAGCTGCACAGCTTGAACATGTCTAGAAAGCATATAATGTTGATCAACAAACAAGACCATACAAAGAGCTATGTAAATTGAAACCCAGCCACTTTGATTTTATAGATTCGTTTAAGAATATAGAAATTAATCCTTTAATGGTATCGTCGGATGATTCGAGCTTTCTCAGTTATGTGGTGGGGCTCCCGTGACTTCTCATACGGTATAAGCACGTATACCTCAAACCACAGTTTAATTTAAACATCACAAGTGTTGGTTTGTTGACTTTGCGGTCAAATTTGATCCGAGGATGTCAGCTGCGTGTACGATTTGAACTTCCTTCACAATGGATTTTTTCGTTGTTGACGGATGAACAATACACCATAGACTACGCCGAGGACGACGCTGTTAGCGATCAACCTGAACAACTTCCTATGGACGACCTCGCTATGCTTATGGAAAAAACATGTACAATTGGTCAAAACGAGCGCCTGCAACTGGTCGATTATTACGCATTTACCTGAACTAAAGTCCGTGGCAACCAATTTGGAAAATAATAACCCTGTGACTCGAGAAATGCAGATAAATTTCTCCAAATACGTGAAATTTTCGAGACACTCATAGAGAACTGTCGAAATTTTTATTTTTCGGGTGAGTCCCCTACAAAATACGAGATGCTCGTGGGCCGATGTCCTTCCTGTGCCTACAAGAAAACTAAACCGAATAAGTATGGACTGATGATGCAAAGACTCACCACTACCTGCTCAATGCTTTCGTCTATACGAACAGAAATATCACACCAGTAGAATTACATGTAGAATTGCGCATCAACCAACTGACCAACGTCGGCAGGAAGCGTAAAAATAAGTAACAAGTACCCCAACATGTAGTTCCAAATAAGAAGGAAACACAGCCAGGTACTTCTAAGTTTACGTTCACTAGCACTACAGCCTTAGTGTAGTATCTTCCAAAACCAAATACACATGTTCTCGTATAGCAATCTATGCAGCATGATAACAAAATAGTAGAGGAATCAAAGAAACCTGATAAGATTCTATATTATTTTTATAACACTATGAAGGCGGGGGGTAATGCATTAGATCGGAAGTGTGTAAATTACAATACTGGTTAGAGCACGAGAAGATTGCCTTGTGCTATTTGGTATCCAACCAGCTTCTGTAAATTCCTTTTTTTTCAGTCTGGGACTGAAAGTTCTATTAGGCGACGAAATTTTATTGTTCTCCTGAGGCAAACTCTAATTTAACTTCGTATGAGAGGACGTTTATCAGATCCAAGACTTCCTAGGGAGCTTCGTTCAGCCATGCAAAGAATCCAAATTACCAACGACGAATAAAGTAAGCCGTCTACTTCTCAGCCCAGAGTTCTCGATCCTGATGCAGTTGATAAAGGGAAAAAACGACGTAGGTGTTACATGACAATACACAATGAAAAAAATGTTCTACAATCTGTAATAAGTATGCAAAGTCACAGAGCAGCTACATTGTTTCGTGAAAAGTGATAAATGTGAATTATTGTACGTTTCCTTATACGAGAAAGTATTTGTTTTGTTGTAGAATATCAACACCAAATATGTTGTTAAATGGCCCATTTTGTTAGTTTTTTTATGTTCATATTACAGTTCAAGTTTCGTAAATTATATTTGTTGCATTACTCATCTTCAAATGGGGTATTTTCGTTTTTAGACAATAAACAGTTTTCATGTAAGAGTGTTTTATGCGTACAAACCTGTTGTACACATGGCTAAAAACAGTAATGGCATTTCAGAAGTTGATAGTAAGATCCGGTGGATAACCTGTTTTGCGAGATTAGACGTGGGATTTCCAACACGAACCCCATCTGCTTATTTGCAGCATTAAAAACTGTAATAATCAACAATTTCAGTTTTCCATTGACAATAATGAAGAATTATGAAGGCGATTCATGTAAGGCACTAGGTAACTTCGCGTTGCTTTTAGAAGAGTATTGTCTGAATAGACAACAGTTACCTTGTGATTCTTCACCGAGCTGCATTTTTCAAGTTGAAAAATCGGGTGCTGAAAGTGATGGATCTATAGATTTGTGAGAATTTGCTGCTGCTTCAACTTCTTTTTGTAATAACAATAACAGTCTATAAAATTTAACAATTCTGTTTCTTCTTTGATTTTGAGTCACCCTGTAAATGTAGCTCTACTAAATTATCGGACCGCATTCATAGCCTACAAGAGAAAAAAATCTTCTATACTGGAAAGGAGGAAAAAAAGAATGTATCAACCTGATACATCTGCCCCTCTTTATAACCCGTGAAATAGCCCTAGTTCTAATTAAATTTCAGTTCAAGCTTCCAAAATGACTTCCGACAATATTAAAGTAGCCATAAAGATCAGA